TAACAAGGTTAAGCAAGAACGAAGACCAGTGGTACTCTGGTCAGCCTCTGTGTGTCTTCCTACGGCCCTCCCTGCTTCCCCTGCTCTCTCCGCTCCATGTCTCACCGTGCCGTCCATCGATCTTTGCCTCCTTCCGCCCTCCTTCCACGCCCATGCTTCTTGTATTTCCTCCCGTCTCTCTGTCTCTCATTCCAATACTGCCGGTGGAATAGCAGGTTTGTATTTCCGTGGAGGAGGAGAGGCACTAAGGATGGATGGGAGGATGGTAGACAGAGAGATGGAGAGAGGGAGAGATGCTCTTTTGGTCTAGTGTATTTAATCAATTATGTTCTCTTGCTCTCTCTGGCATCTCTCCACTTGATATTCTCTCTCCTGCTTACACACACACACACACATAAATGGTCACACACTTACTCTCCATCTCAGTATTTTTAATCCACTTTACCTAGTTGTTGTTGAACATGGAGCACAGGAGGCTCCCATAAGTTTTCAATATGTTTACTTGGTAAGATCTGATTTGCAGAGAACAATACTTGTCATGTGACTTCCCCGGACATTTCTGGGAACATGCATTGTTGTTGGATGATTGCTGACAGACTCCTATGAGGTTTTGTGCATTATAAGAAATTTTCTCCCAAAAGGAACTACTGTAATGGGATCTACTGTGCTTCATACAACAGTGCTGTGCGAGAGGGAAGGATCACTAGAGCAAGTCATTTCGGCTGATTGTCCAGGGAAGAACACCAATTTACTTTATTTCATAATAGAAGCATTTGCTTTTAAGATGGGAACAAGAACTTATCTCACATTTTATTTTTTCTTAGTCAATTTTTTCGACTAAATGTGAAAGCAAAAATTGACAGTGAAGTGCACTCAGGTAACAATTAAGAACCTTTAGTTAAACTTAAATTATTATACATATTTTTCTTGAGGTCTGTTATTTCATGCAATCAAAACAATCCCAAACACTTTGTTGCCGGTCCATTACATCTTCATAAAACTTACTGTATTTCCACTTTCAGAAGTTTTAGTGGACAGCAGCCAGCCTGGCTTCAAACAATGTATTTTACGCGTGTGTCACTATCAAGTCACAGAGTAGGACACCCTCTCAGACCAAGGTATTAAAAAAAATCATTGGAGCCCATCCGGAGATGATCTATAATACCTCCAGGCAGCTCTGAAGTGCTTTTATAGCAGATATCTTGGGAGAACACTTACCAGTCACAGACAGAAGCCATCAGCATAGATGAATGATTTAATAGTGCATTACAAATTGTCCACACGGGAAAAATCAACTGGCTTCTCAGCAGTTCAGAAGCTGATGTTTTTTGGAAGTATTAGGCTTTCTGCTAAAAGCATCATTTTAAGCTTTAATTATCCATGTAAGTAGTTGCCAAGCACATGTGGTCTTTTTTTTCGGTTTGGTTGTCCTTCAGGTACACTCGTGCCTGGGACCTGTTAGCTATACTACATCTTAACAGTACTTGTTGAGACAAAGAGCACTAGGAAGAGGAAGGTGTTCCCAGCTGCTGTGGGGATCCAGATCGGTGACCTTTTTAGTCGCCAGCTTGTTTCTATAACCTTTCAGCTACTGATGCAAGAGAGGTTTTTCTAATTATACCTTCATCCTGCAGCTCAGAGTTGTTAAGTGCTTCCTGAGCATGCAGTTTAATATTTTAATGTCACACACACAGGCTCTCTGTATAGATTTATGATTTAATTCCTATTTTAATATTGGAACAGATTGAATATGCACGCTCTCCACCGTTAATGATGCACTCTGGGTAATGATGTCATAGGAGGAAGTGAATTAAGAGCTGTAAACATGAATAATATGTGTGTGAGAGAGAGAGCGCACATATAAAGAGACACACAAGCTGAGGAAGAGAGCGGGAAAAGATGAAGGGGGCCGGAGACAGGTAAAGAGAGAAAGAAATGAAGGATGGCAAGGGTTTGCAGAAGAGAAGTAATTAGCTAGTAGACTAATTCTGCATTGCACTGTCCAGTCTTTCTCCCAGTGAGGGGACTAATTCTGCATTGATTTACTACAGTGTATTTAGTTTGAGTTTAGTTAGAACTCTAACTACAGAAAGAAAAGAAATGTTTATTCAGTGTTTCTTTACTTTTCAGTCTGATTCAGATTATAGTCATGTTAGATACACAAAGTAAGGATAAATAAAGTGTAGAAAGATTATGTATTGGAGCAAGAGCTGTCTGAAGGGACACTTGTTAATTTAGGACATAATGTGTGTTCTCTGAAGAACTGGTACAGTGTCTTTGACACAGCTCGTTTCTGTTACAGTATTTGGTCTAAGCTAAAGCCAGTGCTTAGAGTTTATTCTTTGGAAAAGGTTAATCTATTTTTGGTACTTGTGGGTCCCTTGTGTGTTGGCACTCATCTTGTTTCCATGCCTGTTGTTATAATTATTATTAAGTATGCATCATAATCTTTTACAGTCTGTTCACAGCAGAGGCAGACAAGTATGTAATAATTTACCACTCTAGAGTACGGTAACAAAACATCACTTATAGCAATTTAAAATACATGTATATTACATGTATTTCTTATGATTTGAAACACTGCATACTTAACTCATGTATCAGTAGAATCTGCTTGGCTGTACTAATGATCCTTTAGTCATATACCTAGTCAAAAATATATCTTAGTGCAGTTTTAACTTGTCCAGACTGTTTCATAAATTCATTCAATAAGTCTTCATCCATGCATGACAATGTATGGATGTAATGGATTTTTTTTGTTTTGTTATTGCCTATTGTTATGCTGATAAATAGACTATCTACATCTACTGACATTAGAAATGTCAAATGTCTTTGTGTCAATCTAGGGAATAGTGTCAATAATTACTGTCCATCAGGTTTATTATCTGAACTTCCTCCATGTCTTCCATTTACTGTCCTGTCACACTCCCAGACTAATTCTGCATTGATTTGCCATTGTGTGTTCAGTTTAAATACAATTTAGAATATCATCTACAAGGTGGACTGGTGCAACATCCCCGGTTCAAGTCCAAACTCAGTTCTGCTGCATCTTTCTCCTTTCTCATTTCCAGTACTAGTACTAGTCTCAGTAAGAAATGCGTTAAAAAATGCCCATAAAATACTTGATGTAAAGTGCATGGTTTCTTCTGCAGCTAACAAAATAATCAAAATTACTAAGCAATTTTAATGACCCAACCCATAAAATTAAGCATATATACTGCTATTACAGTGTTACTTTCCCCCAGAGTGCATGCATGAAAAAAATCTCATAATATAGGTCCATGTTTTTTTATTTACATCATTAACCTACATTCACAGTTGTGTCATTGTATTGTATTATTGTACTGTGTTTATTTGTCCAGCAGTTTGTGTGTGTGTGTGT